TTTTCTTGTTCACTGAAGACATTTGGGTTTAAGATCAAAACATGAATACGAGACAAGAGTTCATATTTTCAACTTTTATTTCCTGGTATTTAAATGCAGATGCGTTAAAAACCTTACGACATACCCTTTTCTATCTTCACCCCGCACATTTGTAGGTGAGTAAAAGTAGAAGAAGAGATAGTCTTAAAGTGAATAACATTTAATATTTCGTTGCATAAACCTTGCTTGCAATAACTGCATCAAGCCTGCGACACATTGACATCAACAAATTGTTGCATTCTTTCTTTGTTCAAAAGCACAAAAGAATCATTTTAGTGCCATGGTAAAAATCTCTGATTCATGCAAGAGCCAGGGAAGATCGGTACATCTGCTAGTATATAACTCTAACATGTGTACCTATTTCATTCTGCTTTGACCACTATGAAGAAATTTTTCCACATATTATTCAACGCCAAGATTTATTCAATATTTGCATATTCTTCATTATTGTAGAATTATCGCATTCTATTCAAGGATGCAAGATAAACATAATAAGGATGGGGCAGATATACCTCCCACATTTTAAACTGTCACCTATATGGTGCTAGTGAACCTACGCAAGTTGCAGTGGTGTCTTCATCTCGCTAATGTCTTTTATTTTTTCAGATACCATCAATTAACATCATCGTTTGGACTGATGCATACCATGAGTTTGCTTTTGAAACGTATTTAAAAAAAAAAAAAAAACAACTGAGGAATCTATAATTGCAACGCAGAAATTTTTTCACGTTCATTTCATCGAAATTATGCTGCTCCGGATATAAAATCGATACAGCTATGGGTTGAAAACTCCCGGGTCACAGGTTCAGCATTTAAAAGAAAGCTACCTTGAAAACCTCGAACTCTAGAAAATATGCAGAAATCCTGCCCAAGAATTATGTTGACGAGATCCACCATTTTGGAGGAAGACGTTTTATAACAAAGTGAATAAAAACAGTAGTCTTTTGTTCAAACAAGAACGAAATAATGTTTTTTTTTAATAGAAATTACCTTGGTCTTTTTGTCAACATATAAAACGTGGGAGGTATTTCTATTGCATCCAGTATATTGAAATGCAGAAAATTTTGAAGCAACCAAAACGTGATTCTACAGAAAGATGCTGAGGCTGTCATGGATCTAACATTTGAGCAACAACGAAGTTTGGGTGAACATGGAAATAAAAAGAAAACTTATACTTAACACCAGGCAGATGCAGTGGAAAATTTCTGGGAAGGGGGAAGTATTGAGGAAATGTGGCTTGGAAAATCTGATACTCACAAGATAGATTGAGGAAAAGAGTTACAGAGGAAAGCAGCGTATAACGTACTTGATGAGCTTGAGTAATTAGATTGTAGAACAGGGTTTGGGTGAAATAACAAAAAGACAAAACTTATTAAGAGCTACAAGGGACAGGAAGATGTGGAGAGCCATGATCGCCTGCGTCCTGAAGGGACACGGCATTTAAAAGAAAGACGATTTACATTGTAGGTATTTTCACACAAACACACACACACACACGCACCATGCACACATACACACAAATACACAACACACACACTATCAATGCATACACACACCATGCACACACATATGTATAAGGTAACAATAATTAGGGCACTGAAGTTTGTTGCTGCAAGAAAAAAACGGCTCCCACCAGCGTTTAAAAGCAAGCTACCTTGAAAATCTCGAAGCACCCGACCTCCTAAAAATGTCAAGAAAATTGTCTACAAAAATGTGTGGCGAATAGAACCGCCATTTTAGAGGATGTCGTTTTTAAAACAAATGAATAAAAAGTCACCTTTTGTTTAAAAAACAGTGTAATAGTTTGTTTTTTATTGCAGTTAATTTCATCTTTTTATCAGCCTTTATAATGTAGGAGGTATTTCTGCTGTACCCTGTACATTGAAATACAGAAATATTTTTACGTTCTGTGAAACAGAGTCGTTCAAATATTTCTAAGCCTCACCCAGAAGGAGTTGGATAAAAAAATCGATTTAGTCCCACTTGACATCAATGCACTTGTTCCAACGATGCTTAAACATTGTAATCTCATCACAGAAGATGGCGTCTTGGTCTCTAAAAACTCCTTCACAATACGTATGATCTTATTGTTTCCAAAATATTTAGGAAACATGAAGAAGTTAGATGGAGCTAAGTCTGGTGTGAAAGGTGGATGAGGTAGCAATTCAAAGCCAGAGCTGTCTGATTCAGCTGCTGCAACCTAAGCAGTGTGAACGAGCGCGTTATTCCATGCACAAACATATTTGTAAGGTAACAATAATTAGGGTACTGAAGCGTGTTATTTGAAAAGAAAAACAAGTTTCCCATCTGAAAAACAATCTCTTTTCAGTCACGTTTAAGTTCCCCTTCCTTCCACGGACAGGAACAAAGCGATAATCTGATACGAATGACATGAGATCAGCGAAATTTAAAGTAAAGAGCTCTTAAATATTACTACGAGTTTGAATTTCGATCGTTTTTA